ATGGCCTAGGACTGCCTTATATAGTATTTTTTTATAGAAAAGCGGGCAAACGAGCATTCAGCTCACCTGATGGTAAGTGTGGACTGACGCCCATGAACAACTGCAACACCAGGGGATTTGCAGGTACGTTGCCGGCCTTTTAAAATGGAGTACTCGTTTTGTTAAAGGTCCCTAAGTCGTATCGGTTTGGAAAAATCGCGAACGATTCCACAAAGTTATTATTTGGAGGCTATTAATCTATGCTCAACAGTGAATCTGTACTATAATGATGGAAACGATGACGTATACGTTAGCTCGACCAAGGAATTTCCGTCGTCACCTCTGAGAAGTAAGATGGAATGCTTACTGACTCTCTATACCCTTCAGACGTAATACAGCAATCTTTTACCTGGTGGAGTCATGGTGCAGCTATATTACGGTTGTAGTACGAATGAGTTGGCTCGAGCGGGAAAGGACCACGCACTTACAAAATAACAGCGTAAAATACCACCATACCATAGTGCTACTGTGTTTCGTATGATGAGTGTAGAAATCCGGAGACCGAATTTACTGGTAACGAGCCATTCCACCTTAGTTCTTAGATTACAACAATGAAGAATTTAACGGCGAAGTTGACCACCTCGATCGACGTTTGCACTGAACATGGCTGCAACGTTACAATGTTTACAAACGTTCAGTAATAAAAAAAATTATACGTGGTAGAGCCACGCTGCAGCTATTATGGTTGTAGCATGAATGGTTCGGCTCAACCGGGGAAGGACCACGCTTTCACAAAATACCAGCGTAAAAGCAGCTTAATGTTGGTGTGTTTCGTATGGTGAGCGTAGAGAACCAGAGACCCATTTTACTGGAATCGAATCATTCTATCTTAGTCCTCAAGGGTGACATCTGCATTTGATTCTTAGTCGAGGTTAAATGTGGATCTCACTACATTCACTTACCAGGTGGACTGTGTGCTCGTTTTTCGTCCATATTCTATTAAAAAAAAATGTTGTAATTATACGATGGCTGCGACACAAACAGGGTTTGCCTTGGAAAGCCTCGCACAGACACTATCACAGAATATCAGTGTAAGAGAGCTGCATCATTCTACCGTGGTTCTTAATTCAGGATAGAAGTGTCTATCGTCCACAGCATCCATTTACCATCGGGTGGACAACTAGTTTGTCATCCTGATATAATCAAGGTAATGGAGATATTATTCAAATTTGAAGTTTTTCAATTTTAAAACGCTTCAGCTGTATGTTAATCCGTCTGAAACTCCTATAATCCTCGACAGAATGTTCGGAGATATAAAAATGGAAATGCGACTTACTACTTCACGAGATAAAGTTTATATTGCAAGAGTCGTTACGTTTATTTTCTCAAGTTGTACGCCATTCGGCTTTTTAGTGTGGAACAAAATCGTTATCGTAGTTGACGAAAAAGGTGAATAAAAAAAGGATAGGAGCTTTATCTGTACTACTTAAGAGATTTGATATTACAGTCTTCAGAAGTTCAGAACTTATGTAACTGAAGAACCTTTTAAGATAATACTGCGGGCGAAGGTCGGTTACATAGTTGTAATCTTGATACTTTAAACGAGCTTTTCTAGTTTGTTATAACTTAAAATATTTATTCCATTTGTGATTCCATTTTGTAAATTATCTTTAATAAAGTACGTGAGGGTAATACGATCATCAGGTTAATAGGTATGGTCACTTTCTTATAACTAAAAACCTTGTGCCTTGTTTGCATAGATGACTCTGTGATACGATAGCTCTTCATCAGTCAATCAAATAATAAAAGTGAATAGGGCGCTGTGTTATAGACGCCATTTTGACGATTGAAATTATAGTAAAGGGTAATATGGTCATCCGGTTAATATGATCACTTTCTTATAACTAAAAACCTTGTGCCTTGTTTGCATAGATGGTTCTGTGATACGATAGCTCTTCATTAGTTATTAATCAAATAATAAAGGGTTAAAGGGGCGCTGTTTATCGACGTCATTTTGACAGTTGACATTACAGTAAATATTTTAGTCGATTTTAGTTTTGTGTAGTGTAGTCAGTTTTCTTTCAAAGTTGGTTTTTCAAAGTGTTCCTAATTATTGCCAAAGCTTGTTTGCTATTGTTTTCTTAATATATTAATTATAGTATATAACTTTGTGTTTTTGTTTCTGTCCTCATCTTAGTTTTGGTATCATAGGGCGGCAAAACTTAAGGTGATTACCCTCACGTACCTTATTATAATAATACAAGCGACCCGAACCGGCTTCGCGCGCTTGATTTCTGAATCTCGACCATAGCGCCACCTACCTTCAACTATAGCTAAAAACGAGAGAACAGCCAAATACAGGTGATACCATAAGTGTACCATTAAAATTTCATCAAAATAGCTGAAGGCATTTAGGAGTAGAGTATTTACGAACTCACGCACCATCATTGAAATAATACTAGTTTTTACGGAATTTATCGCGAATATTTAATTTTTTAAATACCCGACGTTTCGAACGCTTTACAGCACTCATGGTCACGGGACTGAGATGTTCAACGTCCATTTGTCATAGTTAACCGCGGTTACCATAGATTAAAATTTAACTTTTGTTCCGATCTATGCAGTATGAACTTATGGTATGGATCCTATAATAAATAAAATTAAATCCCAACCCAAGCATACAACTGCAAGACTTCAAGATACCAAAAAAAAAAAAACCGAGAATTTCAAAATATTATTATTCCGAGGAAATGCAGATTATACCGGGGAGCAATAAATATTTACTATGATAATAAATCTTCTACTATGTAAAATTTGATGTTTGTTTGTTCGTTTTATGCGCTGCCATAACGTTCATGATGTTGCGGTGAAACTTTGTCAACTTATTGCTTGCTTGCGCGAAGGTTATAATAGGCATAGTACAATTAAGTTACAGTAAGTAACGCACGTATCCTACCGATAAATTTATTTGAAAATTGTATATCATTCAATTTCAATTAATGTATTACCAGGCCCAGTTAAAAAATATAACTTTTTCAAATTTAAAACGATATTTCCACAATAATTATTTATTCTGCGTATGTAATAAGACAATGTCTCTCAATATTTTTGATATATACACATCAAAGGTTTGTTATAAATAGAGAGAAAGTAATTTTGTGACTGAGCGAACGGAATGATTAAATAACTTGCCAATAACAGGGACTTCAAATACTTACAAAAGAAATCTAACGAAAGTTATAAATATCTATATATATGATCTAACGAAACATTCAGGTTGACCAATTCCAACGAAATAGAGAATGAAAGATGGAAGCCAATTTTAGTTAACATAATTTAGGAATCAAAAAAAATTACTAAGGATGTTTTTTTACAGAATAAGGTTGAAAACGAGTGCACAGTACACGTGATGGTAAGTGGATGCTGTGGCACATAGACATCGAAATCTATCCTCGATTAAAAATCAAATTGTAGATGCTATGTCATCCCTGAGATGTGAGACGGACTGCTTCGCGTCTAATAAAAAGCTCTTTACACTTACTATACGAAACACTGGTATTAAGTTGCTTTTTACGCTGGTATTCTGTAAGAGCATGGTCCTCCCGGGTCCAGCAGACCCATTCGTGCTACAAATATAACGTATTTGCAGCATCGCTCTACCACGGCAAACGGTTTACTTTTCGTAATCTATAATATTGGACACAAGTTTTTTAACGCCATTACTAACAGGTGTATTTTGATATAAAAAATAAGGTGGGTGGACCATGGAAGGCCATGAGACCTTCGAAGGCCAATTATTAAAATGTCGTAGTTATTGCCATGTGATGACAAGTTCTTTCTACTTACACAAATACCCATCGAACTGAAAACCACAGACGCGGCGGCGCGCTACTATTTTGGCAGTACGGTTCTTCGCTTCATTGGGAATCGACGACGTTAAAATAAGGTTAAAGTAAGGTTTATATGTTACGTAATAAAACAAAGTATTACTTAAATATTAGTTAGTTTCACTTATCTAGTAAATAAACGAATAATAACTGTTTATTTGTTAGAGTGGCCTTCCATGGTACACTCGCCTTACTATTGTTGCGGGCCTATTATTAAAACATACTTTAATTTAATATAATTGCGAATTCATTAACTTCAACAAGTTTTTTTTAAAGAAAAGGTTACCAGTATATTTAACCGACTTCAAAAAGGAGGTTCTCAATTTGAGTGTAGTTTATTTTTATTTTTTTTGTATCTATAGTATGTTACGAGTATATATGTGATTACATATGTATAACATATACATATGTATAACATATACGTATATTAATTTTCTATAAATATTTAAATTTAATAACGGCTTCCTTCTATATTTTTTTAATTCACACAAAACATGAACTTTAAAACGAATTTACAATTTTATTCACTTTAAACGTAGAATATTTAATGTATTGAACAAAATATTAATTCCTAAAATTGTTCCAAACGAAATAAAATTACGAAAAATAACTGGCTATGAGAGAAAGAGAAAAAAGAAAATTTGCGCGCGCACTGCTCTCTCTTGCTTATATCCCCCACTCCACTTCCGTTCGTCTCGCCCGATCACACTTTTCGTAACGCTTTCGTCACGCGTTCGCCAGCTTACTTCCCAAGTCAAACGTGCGTAGAGAAGTTTTACTTCAAAAAATATGATTTAAAAAAATCTGCCCCCAAAGGTGGAGAATAGGGGGAAAAGTTTCATATTGGACTATTGCTTAAGGAATTTCGTATGATATCTTTACACTTTGAGAACTGATTTAAATGATTCTTTTTAATTAAATAGGTTTTACTTCAAGCGTGGTCACATAAAAATTTGGAGAAAATGTTCCAGCTAATATAGCAAATAAATAACTTCGTTTTTAGCAATTTTAAATCGGTTTGTACTTTCTGTTAAAGGTTATAATTATTAACTTTACATAAATAACAAGCTTACTGGGCTTGTAGCGTACTCTTGACATATTACAGTGGAGTAATTTAATCGTAATGACACTTACCATATCTGGCTTCCTCCCCCTCGGGTGCCTGCGCCGTGAGGGTGGCCAGTTCCTTCTCCAAGGCGACCTGGTGCTCGCCAGAGTCCCATGATAGCAGCCCTGAAACAAGTGAAAATGTTATTATTAATACCGTCACAGTAAAGTTGATATATTTTAATCTCTTAAAACTAAGGGTGTACAGTAGTTAAAACGGAAAAATATTTTCCGTTAGTGAATTTAGTTACGGTATATCACAGTGACAGTGACCGATAAAGGATGGAATGCCTCGTTTCCAGTAAAAAAGGGGGCTCCGGATCTCTACACTCACCATACGAAACACAGCAGTATTAAGCTGCTGCTTATAGCTGTGGTTCTTCCCCGGTCGATCCGACCCATTTGTGCTACAACTATGATATATAGCTGCAGCTTGGCTCTACCACGTATAGACAGGATATTGCCATAGGCGTGGCAACTATGGCAAATATTCCCCTTGTGAGGCAGTACATGGGGAAGTTTAAATGTTAAGCACTAGATTTTTTATAGGCTGTAATATCATTGGTAAATTTCACAGGTTTATAGGCGAAATCACTTGTACTATCAATACAAATGCCTACGTATTCATTGTGTTCTTAAATGTATAAAATATTTTATTCAGTTGTCGCCTCAGAGGCGGTAATGCATTCGACACCGCGCGCTGTGCCGACTCGTTCCAACCACAATATCCGTTATTACTTCCCCCTCTTCCCAAGAGAATCTTACCTCCTTCCTACTGTTGAAATACTATGTAATATTTTATTATATACAGGATTATTTTTCAAAGAGTAGCCGAATGTTAAACTTAAGTTCATATATATAAATAATTATACACCGTTATTGTATTTTTTGAGAATATAAGTAAATAAGGTCTCTACTTTTATTTGAGTTATCCCAAATTGAATGTGATTTATGGGCAACAACGTTGTTGCCTACCGATCGACCCTTACGAATGTGTGCGTGCGCAGTAAAATCTGTTAAAATAATGCTTACCACGCATTTTGAATTTAAAAGATAAAAAAAAATATTTGAGATTTTTTTTATAAATTTTTCTTCACCATTTGCATATATTACTTATTCTGAACCTTCTCTGCAAATATGGCCGGTTACTCGTATAGCAAAATAACCCTATATATTACATACCTACGTTTGCTTGCAACTGCAGAGCAAAGGTGACTATGTTATTACATTTTGATAATTTAGATAAATTCGAAATTGTTCAGGTATGTGTATAAAAATTTCCAATGCACTGCCTACAGAGTTTCAATTACTCCCAAAAGTACGTTATCGCAGGATTGTCAAACAATGGCTTGAGGAGCAATGCTTCTACTCTGTTGAGGAATATTTAATGTTTATGATTAGGATTAGGTATCGATATTAAAATGTTAAATTAAATGTAATAAAATTATTATGATGATTTTGAAAACATGTTATTAATATATTAGTAGTTGTGAAAATGTAATTAATGTATTAGATAAATATTTGTATGTCAACATTATGACAAAACATGCTGGACTGGAATAATTTGTCAACCTGTAATGTTTTCTGCAAACAAATTGTGATTATGTGATTATGATTATTACGAGTAAATATACACGATTCTTTAAATTTACAATTAAAGATGACATTTGTGTCAACTGGGATTGAACCCGGGTTCTCACTACTAGCGCTTAGTCCTTTGAATACCACGGCTGATTTGCCGCGTGCTCTATGGTGAATGAAAATATCATGAGAAAAACTACACTTCTTTGAAATTATAAAAAATTCAAAACATTCCATTTTTGCTAACACGCAGTGGGGCGGCGTACTTCCAACTCTTGGCCATAGACTTCCTCTCATTTCTAAAAGGATTTTAGGGCAAGAAAATGTCCGACGTGCTTCCCTAATACGGAATTCACATTCTTCAATATATTTTTTTTTAATTTCCCAGTCATGCTATAGGCCACAGCCGTTTGCGCGATTGTCACTCTCATTCCATTAATAAAAATGCGGGATTCCTCGCGATATGTCCATCACCGCTCTGCAGGTGATAAATCAGCACTTAAGATTATAATTCACAATTTCATTGGTACCGCAGGTCAAACCCGGACTGCTGGTGTACTGTGATATTTAAAACGAGCGCTTTATCTCTGAGCTACTGCGGTTATAGCGTATAGTAATATTAAACCATTGTGTAAGTGAAATTGCATTAGTTCAGCGGGGCATGGTGCCGAGTGTTCTTTTAATTACTGGCGCCGACTGTCCGCTCTGGGGCATTGTGAGTGCGTGATTGTTCTCCGAGCGCTGCCCCATTGTTCCACAGTCGTAGATTTAAGTAACAGACATCATTATTAAAAGATATTTCCAACCGCGAAGATTTTCCGATATTAAAATACTAGTCATACTTATAATAATAGTTATGTTACGGATTGAAGCTGTGCGGAGACACCTGTGTTAAATGGGCAACAAATAAGTGCAATTAAATGCGTAGGTTAAAATTAAGTTAAGTTATATATATATATATATATATATATATATATATATATATATATATGTGTATATATATATATATGTGTGTATGTGTGTATATATATGGTTGTGTTCGATTTATAAAAGTTTTATATTAAATAGAGATTTATATTTCAGTTCAAACACACAAAACACAAACACACACACACACACACACACACACACACACACACTAACACATACACACAATACACACTGTACATACAATAATATAATACATGCGCGCGCGCGCATGTGTGTGTGTGTTTTTCATATTTAAAGTTTTATATAAAAATTTAATATAAAACTTTAATATTAAATATTTATTTAATATAAAACTTTAAAACGTGTTAGCGAACATGACATTATTTGATTTTTTTTATTTCAAAGATGTGCAGTTTTCCTCACGATATTTCCTTCACCACGGAGCACGTAAAATGCCGTGACTCAAAGAACTGAGCGCCATACATTTCCCAGTACCTACGTAGGCAACCCGGGTTTAATCTCAGTCGGCACCAATGACATCGTTAATGGTAAATTTAAGGGACCGTATACATTTACTCGAAATTATTAAAATGTAATAACATAATCACCTTTGCTAACCTCCCTGTAAGCTATCAAGCCTCCCACAATTAACGTCATTAGAAGCATCATTATGAAATTAATCAATGATGCTTAAGATCAGATCAATGATTGTGAAGAGAGAAAGTAATTAAATCAGTCTCAAGCATTATTAACGAGGTGTTTATGTTGCTCTTGTAATTTAAATGAAATGAAAATCTTCACTTATTTGACGTCTTTCACAGGGTGAGGGTATGAAAACTAATCAAAGTTTTCATAATTAACAAAATTATTCATTCTCTAGCATTCGAAATCAGAATATCTCAAACACGTATTTTAACTTTTTTTTTAATAGAATATGAGTGACAAACGAGCACGCAATCTACCTGAGGGTAAGTGGAAGCTGTGGCCCATAGAAATCTACATTTAGCCTCGACTAATTATCAAAATGCAGATGCGTCGTCGCCCCTGAGGATTAAAATGGAATGCCTACTTTGCAGTAACAAAGGGTCTCCGGTTCTCTACACTCACCATACGAAACACAACAGCTTCCAGCTGGTATTTTACGCTTTACCCCGGTCGAGTCAAACCATTAGTGCCACAACTAATATAACTGCAGCGTTACAGAAAGCCCTATAATGTATAATAGTCTATTTTTATTGAGCTACAAGTAGCAAATTTTCAAGAACCGCAAATACAATTTTGTAATTTGTACAAACTATGAAAAACAAAATAATTTTTTGCTGGCGATAATAATAGTGGCATTTTGACTCGATGTAGAAATTATACTTGCTACTACGGAACTTTTCATAGGCTTGTCCGACTTGCATTGGGCCACTTTTTTCAACTTTTAGTTTTATTAAGCTGTATCGTGACTCTACCATGTAAAAAACTCTAAGACATTCGTTGATTCTGAAATATCAAACGAATAGTTAAAAGGAGCATTTTCTCACTCGCCTTAACTTTTATTCGTATATCTATAGCACATGAACTTTCAAATAATATGATCCCTCCCCCACCTTTATAATTAATACAGTAAACATTCAATGTTCAAGTAATATAACTATTAATATGTTTTTGTTAGTGCGACTGCTGATCATAAGGTTCCGGGTCCGAATCCCAAGTCGAGCCAAAAATATAAATTATTGAGTTTTTCCATTAAGAAATTCGCACTAACAGCCCGGGCCTAGGGAAGCACGTAAAGCCGTTGGTCCAGCGCCTGATATCTCTCCGGTCGTGTCGGTTTACCGTCCCATCGGACTATGAGAGTGCGGGAATAGAGAGTGCACCTGTGCTTGCGCATACACTTGGGCACTATAATCCTGTCCTGTGCCGATGGCTAGCCTCCGAGCCTGGCCGCCGTGACCGAAATTCGATCTGGAGCACATTATTATTATTATAATATGTTCTTAATTTCATTCATACCGTATAGTGTAAGAATATCCACTACTCCATACTTATCATCCCATGGGTATCAGAACCGGCGACAGAGGGAAACTAATCAGGAGATGGGCAGCTGCCATTGACTTATATATTACTAGCGTATGAAATCATTGGCAGCTGCGTCTTTTTAATAACGAATAAAACAATAAGGGCAACATATATAAGAAGATTGTCATTGAAAAATTTTAAACAAGTACTCATTGAGTAGATAATGGAATATATGACACGACCATTTAAAAAAAGAACTAATGAGCAGTGGTGTCATATATCATACCATAACCCTTCAATGTTAGTTAGTCGATACTGTGTTTAGACTTTACTTCTAGATTAAGAATAATAAGATATTGTCAATGTCAAGTTATACTCTGTGACAAGCTTTATCTATCATTGAAAAAATGTTATACTTAAGTAAGTGACCAGCGTTGCTGAGTTCACAATAATAAAAAAATATGTAGCAATTACATTAGATAAGTTGATAATTGTGAACTTGCTTGTGGTCCGAAGTTTAATAAATAAATTAAAAAAAACCGCTTGCCAAGCGTGGCAACTATGGCAGCCCTATAAGGAAATTTATGAGAATGCCGGAAGTGGACTTTATAAGGCTCTTACGGTTATTCTCATCAATGCTAGTATATTTTCGGCACACATTTTATCATTGAGTCTAAAGATATGTAAGTACAAACTAATTAATAAAACATAGTAACCGACATCTGTCAGCCGCTGTCAGAGTTGTTCTGACGGCGGTGCGCAATATATTATTCAGAGGAGACAATTTGAGCCACGGAGGGTACCTCGTGTTGCTGCTAAGTTATAACATTGTATTGAATAATCCTTGGATTACTTTTGGAGAGAATCATCATCATAATTACAGCCCTTCACATGTGCACTGCTGCATAGATCTTCTCCGAAAAATTCTACAAAGCACAGCTCTGAACCACCTGTATCCATCGACTTCCAGCACACGTCATCTCATAAGAAGGCATTCCATCTTAATCCTCAGAGTTGACAAGGTATCTGCTTTGATTCGTAATCAAGGATAAATATAGATGGTAAATGGATGCTGTGGCCATAATCTATGGTCCAAAGCATCCATTTACCATCAAGTGAACCGTGTGCTCGTTTGTCACCCTTATTCTATAAAAAATAAGAGCACGTTTCGGCTTTACTTCAAATGTACATAGCGCCCCGTATATCTTTTCTTGTTGTTCTGAGTTTTCAAATAATCTGTTTGTTTGTATAGGACCGAAAATGTTAGTGCATTTTTAACGAGATCCGAACACGAATGAAAAAATTTTTCGCTGCCTCTGAATAGTCGAACACAATTTGTTTGTTCGGTGCTCCCTTTGCAGTTGTTAAAACTTTAATATTAAAAAATCCAAAAGAAAGAACAATAAGTCGCGAGATTGAAAAGCAGGTGTTACACTGTTTGTTTTAAATAAAACCACCAGAAAGTACATTTTTATATTTTTATAAAATAAAAAGTTAAATACATCAGCCTGACTTATTTTTTTTTAATAATAATAGAATAGAACAGTTATTATTCAATATAGATGTGTTAATAATACATCTGTATTTTACGTGGTGGAGCCACGCTGCAGCTTTATTATACTCGTAGTTGTAGCACAAATGGGTCTGCTCGATGGGAGCAGGATCACGTTCTCCCAGAATATCAGCGTAAAATAGCAGCCTAATGCTGCTGTTTCGTATGGCAAGTGTAGAGAACAGGAGACTCTTTTTACTGGAATTGAGGCATTCTATCATAGTCCTCAGGGGTTGCAACGCAATTGCATTTTGATTCTTAATTGAGGATGAACGTGGATGTTTATGGGCCACAGCATCCACCTAACATCTGGTAGACTGTGTGCTCGTTTGTCACCTAATGCTATAAAAATATTATAATATTGGTATCGTATTTAAAATTTAAATTTCATTCTCATCATCATCATCATCACAGTCTATAAAAATCCACTGCTGAACATAGGCCTCGCCCATATATCACCTCGTAGAAGGTATACTTCTCAACAGCCTGGTTGGCGACCACGGTTTTTTACGCTTTATTTGTTATTTAGAATGACTTAACTGCCCATGCCCAACCAGAACTGGTTTGGTTCCCTATGTAGCCTTTTATGACACCCACAGGACTTATAAGGTAGTGGATGAAAATGAAAATGAAAATCCTTACTGCAACACTAACAACAATTTATGACTCTAGCTCTTCTTTCTTTTCTTTCCTATATCTTACAGGCTGTTGAATAAAAATGTACAAGATAAAAAAACAGTAAAACATAGATAAATGTTTCTACCCTGCGTGCGTGCATATACGAGCGCTCGTGAATGTGTTGTGTGTGTGTGTGTGTGTGTGTGTGTGTGTGTGTGTGTGTGTGTGTGTGTGTGTGTGTGTGTGTGTGTGTGTGTGTGTGTGTGTGTGGCGCGTGATGGGGAGAGGGGGAGATTAAAACGGTATTTACCTACTTTTTATCGAAGTTTAACTTTCTTCGTAAAAAAACCAATTAGAGCAATAAATCGAAACGAATGAAAACATTATTCGACCTATCAAACAAATCGTATTAAACAACGTACAACCGAGTGAAAGTTCACCCACAATCAATAGAAACCTAACTGCAGCAGAAGACCGAATGCCATTTACTATGTGGATTTATTGCCGACCTTTGACTAGCATTGCGTGATATACCGCAACAATAGATAAACACCAACTATAAAAGATCCGAAGCATACATAGAAATGCACTCGGTACGGGGTTCAGGATATATCTAGATTTAAACAATGAACTGAGATAGCAGATTTCTCAGTATGTAAAATTGCATTACATGTTGCAGACTTTATACGTGGTAGAGCCACAATGCAGCTATATTATGGATGTAGGACGAATGGGTTGGCTCGACCGGGTTATGACCACGCTCTCACAGAATACCAGCTTAAAATAGCAGCTTAATACTCCTGTGTTTCGTATGGTAAGTGTAGAGATCCGGAGACCCTTTTTTACTGGAAAGGAGGCATTCCATCTTAGTCCTCAGGGGTGACAACTCATCAGCGTTTTGATTCTCAATCGAGAATAAATGCAGATGTTTATGGACCTTCATCCACTAACCATCCGGTGGGTTGTGTGTCACCTCTATCCAATAAAAATGGAAGTGGTGTTTAAGTTGGGATTTAGAATTTGGATTTTATAAAATGCAATATAGGACAATTAAAAATTATGTGAGCCACTTTCGTAAATTGAAAATAAATTCTATTTATTTATTGTAATTTCAATTTATATAAAATATATCTGCATAATTGATGATGTAATGTTGTAAAGAAAACGTAGTATATATTGTTTTGTTTAGTAAATAAATAAAATAGTTTAATATTTTTTTTTTCGTATAATTAATTTCGGTACACTTGTAGAGAGATACCAATAGATGGCGCATCGCCATTTCTTCCAACTTGAAGATGCTGTATATCCATTATCGTAGGAGACATGCACGGAATATGAAAACACTTTTCTCAATGACGGCTCAGTAATAGAGTGCCAAAAAGATTTTTTACACCGCGGTTTCGAATCCCAGACGGAAAATTACTTATTTTTATGGCTCATATTTAATTGTTCTAGGTATGATTGTTTGTTGTGGTCTAGATTGTAAAAT